TGAAATATGTGAAAGTATTTTAATAATAGCCATTTATTTTTTTAATATATATTTGATTAACATATAACTATTAAATTATGATTTAAAAATAAATCGAACACTAACTTATTAATTTATTAACTTATTTAGATTACATTATTATATTAACTTATTTGAATTACATTATTTTATACTTTTGTACATATTTGTTTTTTAAAAAATAAAAAATAAAACCCCCCGCAAAACCACCTTCTCATCTAAAAAGCACCACACCAACCCAAGTTTGCTGAAGCAAAGGGTAGTTCGATCGATCGGATCATATGTGTTGTTTGGTGACACAGTGACTGAGATTTCAAAGAGAGAGGCCAAAACTTGGTTCTTTTTTCAAACATTCGTCGATCAAACCCATAGTTGCTTCTGATATACCCATCGATCAATCATCGAAATTCACTTCATTTTTTTTTTTTTTTGTTTTTTTTCGTTTTTGGACTTTGTAATTCAACGGGTGAGAATCACAAATGAGAAAAGAGTGGGAAACAATACCTAGAGAAACTAGCTCCTCGTGATTTGAGGTCCCCCGTCTTCGTCAACGCGTCTGTATGTCATGTCTTTTGTTTTGTTTACCCCAACCTTTGTTTTAGGTCTCTTCCGAGCGTATCTCGTTGTGTTTAGGTCGTGTACCTTTGTTGAGTCCTTTTCCGCTGTATCCAGTTGTAGGCTCGATACCCCAGCTAAGAAAACCCTTATTTAATTTCGAAAGTTAATCGTTTATGCTCGGAGTGCTGTGCCATTCTCTACATTTGGGCGAACCAAAAGAAGGAAGGGAAAAGTTAGGGCATCCGAGCATGTTTCAACCCTAACCGGTTTCACCTTTGAAGGCCGTCTTGTCAGATTGGGCTGTTTTGTTTAAAGTTTGCCGTGTGCAGAATAAACCAAGTGTTGGTTTATGGGCTGTAGGCAGATTAATCCTCAGCAGAGTGTGGATCGTTTGTTCAGGTTAAGCAGTGGTTTGTATGGGTTGCTTTGCTGTTACTTGGTTTGGTTATCTTGTTATTAATGCAAGTGTTCAACATTCAGACAACAGATCAATTCCATTTACATTGAGGTGTAACATGATGTGATGCGATGCAATACATGAGATATGTAAATGTAACACTTTTTAAGATAAAAAGTTCATTTCATTTCATAATCTTTTAAGTACAAAGCTTTGAGGGAAACAAAAATCTGCCGGGGGCAGTACAAGGTAATCTATCTACCAGCGAAGAAAGAAAGAGAAAGAGAAAACAAAGGAAAAAGTACAAAAAATAAGAAGAAAAGCAACAATCTGGGTCATCCTCAGTAGTCTCGGGCCCGGAGGTCTGCCCTCGCCCTCTTCCTGGACGAAGGTCCAGAAGTATCATCAGCATCGCCGTCTGAGCCTGAGTCTGAGTCATCTCCAGCCTCCTCAGATGACCTGGCCTCTGCCTCTGCCTCGGACTCATCATCGTCATCGTCATCATCATCAGAGGTCGGCGCCCGAGAACTACTCCCAATATGAATACGCCCTCCCCTGGTACGGGGACGTGCAGTGTCTCCACGCCCTCCCCGAGCAGGAATAGAAGGCCCAGCTGGAGCACCGCCCACCGGAGGGATCTGGAAGGGAGGCTGAAAATCACAAAAGGCAAATGCATCAGTATACTGTGGACAGTTTATCAGTGCAGAATGCAGTGTATGAGTACAGTGTCAGTATGCCGTGAGCAGTTTACCAGTGCAGAATGCAGTGTATGAGTACAGTGTGAGAATGCCGTGTGTAGTGTATCAGTGCAGAATGCAGTGTATTAGTACAGTGTGAGAATGCCGTGTGCAGTGTATCAGTGCAGAATGCAGTGTATCAGTACAGTGTGAGAATGTCGTGAGCAGTTTATCAGTGCAGAATGCAATATACAGTGCGTGAATGCCGTGGGCAGTTCATCATTACAGAGTACAGTGTATAAATGCGGTGTATGCAGTGTATCAGATGCTGTGAGAACAGTGTGTCAGGTGTTGTGTCGTGCATCAGATTACGTGAAGCAGTGTATGAATGGTTTGAGGCCATTGTCAGAAGAACATACCGGAATACTGTAAAGGGCCAAGAGGTCAAAGGTCCGCTGCAGTATCCCCATCATGGAGGCGTTCAACTCCACAGACTGCCGGGTGTACCCAGAGGACGCCTGCGAGAGTTAAGATACATCAGTGTTCTGTGGAATATCAAATAAACTGAAATGAAATGCTAGATGCAAGATGCAAAATGAAGTAATACATACCGGAGGCAAGTCGGGGATGCCGGCTAACTCATGACCAGCCGGGGGAGGAGCAAAAGGGATCTGATAGGTCGCCCCGTCCTGCCCTCTATATGACAGTACAGTGGGCAGGGCAGGCCAGCCAGTCCCCCGTCCCCCCCGAGCTCCGCTCCTGCCATGCCCTCGAGCCCTCCTCGATGTGCCCGCTCTAGTCCCAGCTCCTGCTCCAGCTGCCGGCGCCGCTGGCCTCTCCCCCTCAGCTCGGCGACCGCCACTCAAGGGTCGCATAATATAGGTCCGGACGTACTCTGCGTAGTCGCCCTCGCCTCTGTGATGCTCCTCACCCCAGCCGGTGGTGTACTCCCTCATGTGCCTAAGGGAGTGTCCCTCTGTATCCCTCATGTGTGTAGGAGGTGGACCCGGCACTATCTGCTCTGGTAAACCTAGGGTCTGGCGCAAGAAACGCTCGCCCAGGTACCAAGCCCGACAGACCGGGCCCTCCAACAAAATCCGACAGCGAGAAGTCTCCCCGGAGCCCTCATAATGATCCCTCACCACGGCCGGCAACGGAGCCCAGGGCTGCCAGGTGATCTGAAAATGAAATGCAGTTTATTATCTACTGTTATTAAAAACATACGGTGCAAAGCAAAGCCAAAAAAATAAACTCAAAATTTGAACATACCTCCGCTGCGGTGATGGTGTCGAAGTACCGGCGAAAGAAAATGAGAGACTCCCGTGGTCTCCGTACGCATCGCACATCGAAGCGATGAGAGAAGGGGACGCTGAATGGGATCTCCTCGTCGGGTATTGGGGTAAGCCTAGGAAAGTAGGCGTACATCCACAACTGCAGAACAGATGTCAGTATGACTATCAGATAAGGCAGAATACAAAATAAAGCAAAATAGCAGAACCGTGTGTTGTGCAGTGTATTGTGCAGAGTGTACAGTGCGTGCAGTGTGCAGTCAATGTAAAGCAGAGTATATGCGTGCCGAGTGTGCAGTGTACAGTCAGTGTGGGGCAGTGTACAGTATATGTGCAGTGTGCAGAATACAGAAAAGCAGAAGACAGGAATGTAAAATGGGAAGGAGACATACCTCCCAGGCTCGCCAGTAGCCACCAAGGAGCTGTCCGCTGAGGCGGGAAGAGGAGCTCATATAACCGTACAAAGTGGCCAGAGCGGCGCCACCCCAGTCGTAATGGCGGATCTGCCTGACGTCCACCAGCGCGCTCAAAAGGCATAAGGGCACGGTGTTCGCCCGATCGGCGAAGAGAGTCGTCCCGAAGAGGAACATGATAAAGCCCCGCGCATACTGGTCCACCTCCTCTGGAGACATCTGCGCCTCCTCTGCCAAGGCCGGCTGGACCCGAAAGTGGCTCTCAAACCACGAGTACCTAACGAACCCCGTTCGAGCGAGGGGAGGCTGAGTACCGAGTAGGTACAGCTGGGCAGCGTCCCACTCGTCCATATCCGTGTCGAAGGGGATCGGATCACCCCCTACCCCAATGCCAGTAAGCATCGAGAAGTCGTAAGGGGTCATCGTCATGTCCCCTGCGACGGAGAAGTGGAAGGAGTCGGTGGTATCCCACCACCTCTCCGCCAGAGCAGCGAGCAAGGGCCTGCAGGTAGTCAGCCGAGAGAGCCCCCTGCAGAAGATGCCAAAGCCGGCCTCGTCGACAATGTCACGAACCGCATCTGGTAGCTCGAGGTACCAGTCCCGAGCGCCGGTGTTCCCATACCCGCGGATGGTATGGGAATCCCCCTGTAGTAAAAAACAACAATTGCAAGGCAATATTCAAAATGCAATTCTAAGGAGCATATAGGTATACAGCATGCGTGCAAGTGTTAACAGATTCCAGCAAATACCGGGTGCCGGTGTGCTTACAGTGAACTACAACGTGTGATGTGTCGGCGTATTTGGGTGGTTTAGTGCAAACGTAGCATGCGTGCATGTTTTCAGACTCAAGCCAATACCGGGTACCAGTGTGTATGCAGTGAAATACAGTGTGCGCCGTGTGTTTGGGTGATTCGGGGTCAGTGCAGTGTGTGTACATGTGTCAGTCTCAAACAGATATCAGTTGCACGTATGTTTACGATCAACTACGGTATACAGTATGTCAGAATTGAGCAGTTAAAGAGCATAACTAGCTACGGCAGTTTTGCATCCTACATTGCAGAAAGTAAAACAGAGAAAGAAAGTTACCTCGGAAGCGCCGAAGGACAGGTGGGAGGTAGGCTCACGCAGTAGTAGCTCAGGTGGCACGTGCCTTTCGAAGCTCCTGAACTGGCGTAGTCCGTCGGGGAGCATCGCATGAACTGTAGGCCTGTAGGTCTCCGGATCGAACGGCCGGATACGGAGTGGCAAAGGCTCGGCCTCGGGATCCATCTCGAGCTCGGGATGGGCCCCGCCCTGTGGAAGGTCGTCCGCCATCTCGAAGTGGATGTGAAAATGGCCGGAAGACGAAAAAACGGGCGAGAAGGCGAAAAGTCAACGAAAAGTCAAACCTCGAGAGGGTCGGAAAAGGCACGGGTATCAAGAAAAACTCGAGGGAAGCAAGCCCCGAGTGGCAAAAATCGAGAAAGAAACATCGAAACGAAGTTTCGTTCGGTTGAAAATGTCCGAAACGCGAAAGAGATCGCGAATCGAACAACGAAATGGGAGCTAGAACGCAAGAAAAGAAGAGAATCAAGGGAGGAAAACACTCTAGAGAGGGAGAGAGGTAATTTTCGACTAAAGGGAAGTGAAAAAAATAGGGTTAGAAACCCTATTTTAAAAGACCCGTCCACATCCAGGTTTCAAGAAACTTACATTCAGATTCTTCGTCACTTTCAACATCACTCGATACTTTGCATTTTGCAACTTTCCTAACTCTCTCATTAACTGAAACATCAGGTGTTTCTGAGTGTCTTTTTCGATGAAGCTTCTTTATACTTTCACTTTCCTCTACAAGAATTAAAATAACAAGTGAAACAAAATTGGCAGCAGAAAAAGACAGAAAATGTATAAACCATAAAATACCTAGGGGTGGTTGAGGCTTTACAGGCAAAGGAAAATATTCTTCAACAAATTTTAACAATAGCTCCCGAGGTCCCGAAATAAAGCCATCAAGGTCAAGACCCTATATCAAAGAACGTTGCATGAAAACAAATCGGCATTAAACAATACACATCACATGAATTTTGATGAAAAAGGCATACATAGTTATTTTCAAACAAAGACAAAAAGTGCATAACCAGAATGCAATTGAAACAGACTCACATATTTTGCCACAGCTTCCTCAGTTCGTGCCTCTCCAGTACTCTGTATGCCAATAACCACACACTTGTTCTCCATCAATGCTTGTTTAGCAAGTCTTACAATTGCAGACACCTTAGCTGACATACACATGTGTTTAAAGAAACGCTACAATAGCACACAGAAAAACACATTAAAAAACAACTAAATAAGAGAATCAAGAAATTAAAACTGAGATACCGTATCAAACAATGAATCACAATGAACTTTGCAGACTACAAACCTGATGGCTTGCCCAGTATAATCTCCAAAGAGGATTGGGTTTCTTGTCAATGAGAAATTCACTTGCTGATAGCAATTCCACTCTCAACTCAGCCCAAAATTCTGCTGCTTTATTATACATATCCTGAAAACATGTCAAGAGACCAAATCGAGTTTATACACAGCAGGAAGAATAAGCACAAAAAATTCTTCTCCAACTGAAAAAAATTCACCAAGTTAACTAATCATATTTTAAGTAAACTTAATACATAGTGCTACTGTCGCAACATATTTACACAGAAGCAAGATAGGATGAAAAGACCACTCACTACATGAAGAATAATAACAGAGAAAATAAAAGAAAAAATGCAAGGATCTGTACCAACATTCCACCTATTTTGATTGACATCTTCAAAAGAAATAAAAAATAAAAATCCAGAGTTACAGTAACTTGTGTTGATTCTTTTATTTCCCGTTTGGTGTTCTTTACTGGATTCATTTCATACAGGTTGAGTGAAACCTGTACTCCAGTTTTTTCATAACATCTGATTTAGGAAATGATCAGTCCATTTTTTTTTCCTTCTTTTTTGCATTGCTAGTAAAAGCATTTTAGGTAGCAATAAACAAGTTGAGATTGAAGTAACATTCAGGATTGCCACCAGTCCTTGCTACAATTAATGAAAGCAATGATGATCTCTCAATATGCCAACTGAAAACTTGAAGGCACATAAGAAATTTCTTTGACTTCACTTGCACAATATCTGAAAGACTAGGCATTAGCATTTTCCGTATAACTTTAAAGGACTTGCTCAGTTTAGTCCCCATGCATGGTTTCAGACAACGGGTGGACAGTGTACAGACCCAAATTTTGGCTCTATTTATACAAAATTCGTCATATTCAAACTCAAAACCTCGCGGTTGTTGGGGCCAAATTTTAACCACAAAAACAGTATCCCTGATATACTTAAAAGGTGTTAAACAGTAAGGAAACTACTCAAAGAGTTAATAAGCATAGATATCACATGGTGATTCACATTAAGAAACAAAAACACATATAGTTGACAAAAGTAGAATTGACAGAAAGGGAAACATTTTACTTAATACTCAATTTCTTGCTCTTGATTAACAAAAGAAGAAAATTAAAATATACCATCATTTTGGCATCTAATGGTACTTCAACAGTTTCAAACTCTGCCCCTTTGTAGCTCAGCGTACGGCATACATACATCCCTCTGAGGAAAAACAGCTGTGCTTAAATTGACATAGTAACTTATAACACATTGCTCCAAAATGAAAATGCTATATTATAACCTTGGATTCAATTGCTTTGCATTTTAGTTTGCATTGTTTCAATTACATTGCATCTTCATTTGCATTGTTTATACATTGTTTTGTATATATTGCATATCATTTTGCATCCATTCTTGCATTGTCATGCATGTTGCTAATGATATTGTACCTGTTAAGTTTGTTTTCTTTTCAGGCACGATATTGTATGTACGGTTCATTTGAGGCTGGTGCAACCAGACGAGCCGCACAGGTATTGTATCCTCCGAGTGAGACGTATCGAGAATTACATAATTCTCTTACATCCTTTCTGCATTGTAGTGTAGTTTGGTGTATGCTAGCTTAAAATTGTCGCATGTATGCTTCATTACAGTTTCCTTTGCATGATCATAAGTTATGTCCGGCTCTGTGCATTGTCTTGCATCTTGCCCACGCCTTCGGGCGCATACCTTGTTTGTCTTGCATGTTTGTCTAAGTCTTCGGTCTTGTCAAAAATGGGTTGTCTCTGGGCTTTGACATTCACTCCCGTCATTGTTATGACTTTCGAGTTCTTTCAAAGAGGGACAACTGTAGACACCCCATTTTTGACCGTCCTCAAGACTTGGACGTCACCGTTTGAACACCCGGTGATCATCCATGTTTGTGTTCGTTTGGAGTTCTCGGAGGTCTCGGCTACGCGCCTTGCCTCAGGATCTCCGAACTCGATTGTTTAGTGTCTGGTTTTGTACCAAACACTTGTGTTTTGCCTTGGAGGGGTAGGGAATGCCTTGTGAGGCAACCCCACACATCACCGGCCATGGCTAGAGGCCACCGGCTGGTGTTTTGTTGCCATCGGCAATGTGTGCTGCCGGTCAGCACTATTTGTTGCCGGTCGGCAGTCCATTTTGTCAAAATGGCATTTTTGAGCAGCTGACTACTGTTCATCTGCTTTTGCAGATATTTTAATACAGATGTATGGCATTTTGTTCCCCTCCATACATGTGTATGGAGGGATGGCTTCCTTGTTAGCTTACCTTGTAAGCTTTACAAGATTGGTTCCTCTATAAGAGGAGCCCTCCTCTCTTGGCTTTAGGTTAGACACTTTAGAGAGAAAAGTGGTGTGAGAGCTCTGATTTTAGGTCTAGGGTTCCATACATATTCTATCTCTATACCTCTCTCTCATTTGGCCTTTGTGTGTGTTTAAGTGTGTTTGTGTCTTACTATTGCACACAAACACATAGTGTTACATCTTCCCTTGGCTACTGAGGTTCCAAGAGGTTGTTCTTGAAGTTCTTGGGTGGTTTTGAGCTTGAAGAACCAGCTGGTCCACCATTTTTGAAGAAAGTCTTCAAGGGTAAGAAACTTGCCTTTATATTCCCCATTTTTACATTATTTTTTTGCCTATCTTAAAACTGTTTTTGTGCTTAGTGTATAACATAAAAACGTTCTGTTTTTAAGCCCTCTAAATAGTTTGTTTAGAGTGTTTTGTGGTTTGGAGGTGTTTGACCCCTCTTAGGCCTTGAGAGGCCCCATTTTGTGCCATTTTGAGTGAGCTCCGGGACCTTGGTGTTTGAGCCTCCTCACCACTGAAATCTTGAGGAGTTTCAGAGGTGAGGATGGTGCCTTGAGGTCCTAGGGAGGAGAGGGCCACCCCCTCTCCTTGTTGTCCTTGAAAAGGACCATTTTTGGCCTCTTGAGGGAGCACCTAGCTAAGCTTCATGTTGACCATGCCTTAGTTTTTTTTTGTGCTTATTATGTCATAATATGCCTCTGTTTTTTGTTGGTTTTGGTACACCATGCATGCTTAGCATACCTACCTTGTAATGCCATGTTAGGCCATAACATGCCTTAGGTTGTAAACCATTGTTCAAGCATGTTTTAGCTCTAGCTTTGTGAAGCTTTTGTGCTTATTTTGCCATGTTTGAGGCCTGTCCATAGTTGTTTGGGTCGGCCATGGCATGCATTATATAGCCCCTTTGCATTTTTGGCTTGTTGGCTTTAAGTGTGTGAATGTGTAGCATGCATCCTTGCCTTAATTTGGTGATTTGGGACCATTTTCCATGTTATTTCAGTCCCTTTAACATGCTTGTATGCTTGCCTTGGATGCCTCTTTAATGCTTTGAAAGCTTGTGTAGCATGTTCCATGTTTTGGCATTTGTGCATGCCTTTGAATTTAGGTCATTTGGATGCCATCTAAGTGATCTTTAGGCCTTGTCTTAATGTGCTAAAACTCTGTTTTTGATCATTTAGTTCATGCCATGTTTGGCCTTGCTAAGTGTAGTTCAATGCTTCTTTGGTGGGCCTTAGGAATTGGACCATATTTGCATACATGTGTGCGTGTGTTTTGGGCCTCATTTCCTTGGCTTTGGCCACTGTTTTGGGCCTAATTAGAGCTGCCCAAATCATGTTTAAGTCCATCTCTTTGTTTGTTGCATGTACTCCTTGCATGTTGTAGCATATTGGTGAGTTGTTGCATAATTGAACTTGCATGATTGAATGAAGTCACATGTTTGTTTACATGCTTAAACATCCACATTGTGCCTTGCATACTTGTTGATTGCATTATCTCATGCCTTGCATGCTTGCTTGCTTGTTTGCATAGTTTGTGTACCTAGTGTACATCACTTGCTTGTATGCTCATGTTGCATGCTAGCTCGCATGATTAGGATTGCATTGCAGTGGCATGCATGCTCTACCTCTTGACCAAGTCATGATGGAGATCGAGTCCCTTTGGTTTGTTGGTTTGCATTGCATTTGACATCAAAATGTGCCCATTTGGTCTCTTGGGCCATCACGCATTGAAATGCGCGATTGGTGGTCCGAGAACCAAGAAGCATGTCCCTTTGACTCACTAACATGATAAGGGACATGATTGGTGCATACGTTGCTTGAATTGTATTGCCATGCTCTGCCTTGCCCTCTGTTGCTGTCAATTGCAAGTTCTGCAGGAACTCTCTGCCGACCGGCAGTGCTAAGTGCCGACCGGCAATCCTCCCTCTGCCGATAGCTTCACCAACGGCCGGTGACCACATACCACTGCCGGTGGCAATCCTATTCAACCGGTGATATCTCCCAATGTCCAGAGAAGTAGTCTTGAGACTTTGGAAGTCTCCAGAGGAGTATATCAAGGAAAACAGAGGCAGCCTAGGCATGGCAGTGCACTTCCGAGCAGAACCGAGCACGCATTGCATTAGGCTCTCTTCTCGAGGCGGTTTACTGTTTTTCCTAGCTTAGCTAGTTTGTTAACTAATTAGGCAATTTGTAATAATTAATTAGCTCGCGAGTTAGTTAATTTGTAATATTTATTCGGTCCCTCCGAGCGAGGGCGAATCTGTAATAAGTGTGGGTGAGTGTGTGAATGCCTTCTAACCCCCATTTCTTTCTTCCCTTTTATTTACCTGCTTTGATGGTTAGTAATAGG